CCTGTCACATGGCTTCTGACAAGAAAAATAGCCAGTGCCATCATATGCTTCTTTATCTGTTCCACACGGCACTTCTCGGAAAGTAGCTCCACAATAGCAGCCTAGAAAGGAAACAAAGTAATAATGATCTGATCACTTGGTTACTTCATAATTCAGGCATTTTTCCAGTCTACAAACTATCATGCTACAAGACCACTGTAGCTGAATAGTTTCACAACACAGAAAAGATCAAGAAAGCCAAAAGAACTGAGCCACATTCCATGTACAACAGAGAAACTGGTGATTAGTTGAGTTTGACTATTTCAGGTTAAGACTCTACAAAGGCCCCCTCTCTTCACTTAACTCCATCATGTTCCTCTATTCATATCCTCTTCGTGTGCCTCTTTACTTAAAGTGCATCTATATTTTTTGCCTGAACCATACTCATTACACTGAGTAAACCACATTTCTTTGGAATTCCCCACCTCCCCCCCCCAATTAGATTGTTAGTGACAATTTGATACTTATTTCCTTGCCTTTCCCCACGAGTAGGAACTTTTTCTGTACCCATAAAACAGTGTCATGATTTTCAAGACTTTTGTCAGATTATCCCTTAGACTTTTAACTTGCCTAAACATGCAGGCCCTAAAGACTTGTCAACCTCTCCTGAAAGGTGTGATCTAGCAGTTATATTATGTTTGAATATTTTCTGCAACTTCTCCAATGTTTCTATAAAATTATTTCCTAAATATGGATACTCGAACTGCATGTGGCAGTCTACATTTGGTCAAATTAAGTTCAAGTATACCTTCTCCGCTTTTCTGTTCCATTCCTTGAGAACTTAATCCCAGTGCTTGCGTTTTTCTTAAAAATCATTGATCTAACTTGTTTTCCTGCTTGTAGTGATTTGAATATCTTTATCCCAGATCCTTTATGCTTTCTGATCCCTTTCAGACTTTCTATCCAAGGAACGTAGTTTCCTTAGTCTTCCTACCAAAATGCACCATACCACACCATAGGCTGAAATTCATTCATTAATAAATTGCTCAATTTCTAAAAGGCAATCTTAATTCAGTTTTAGGTTTATTCACAAAGAAATATTTCAAACGGATGGTCCATAATTCTACAACTGCTCACCCCAGTGTTACTTTATATGAGCACAAGTGTTAACCAGAGCACCCCTCTTCTGTAAACACACAACTTTGTTACACAATTAACACATTTCCTTGTTTAAAAATAAAGCTTACATAATATTCAGAAACAACATTTTAAAATAAATAAAATTACTATCTAAATTTTATATAAACCATTGCAAGAGAAGATGGCTCTCTTCCAGGAGTCCCTGTAATATTTTGGCTAAAGCAATCTTTAGATTCAACAAGCAGATAGTTGATGATTTGTATCAACCCTCCAATTTTGGAGATTTTTTTTTTAAACCAACTGTTCCATGCTAATATGGTCAATCTTTACATCTTTCCCCCTCGCACACTTTTTGCAAATTATATGCCATCCTGTAAGGAACGATTGTCCATCGAATGTTACATGGACAAACTGCCTCCAGTCTAACTCGGACGCTGAATTTCTCCTAAAATGTGACAAAAACAATCTCACATCCACTGCTGCCACGACTGCCAGTATTTCCATAGGTCAAGTACTTATAACTTCAAATAATTCTCAAATCCTTGCATTTATTTCCTTAACTTCTTAGGATTAAGGGCATTTCCCATTTACACCAACCAAAAATATTACAGAATCAGCTTCACACTAATTTCAGGCTCTTGGGGTCATCTAAGAATGACAAGTATGCATTTCTCCATATTTCATTTAAAATGCTCTTTTTGCCCCCCATAAAATACACTTGACTTTAGGGTGCTTTCTTGTAGTATTTACTTCTAATACATCAGAGCTAACACGCGGTCTTGTCCGAAAACACAACCAATCCAACTGACCAATCAAGTTTTGCAATGATCTGTTTCTTTTTTAGATGCGACATCATTCTCTGTGATGACCTAGCACAGAGATAACAGATAAGATTAACACTCTCTAAAGACGACTGCAGATTCAAAGTTGCTCCAAACCTACTTTGCTTAATGTCTATACCATTACATTTAAAAGCCTCTGCAGACTGACTTGCAATCTTAAATTCTATTTCAATGTTATCAATAACATATTCCTCAAAGTCCACAGTGCCATTTCACAAAAAACTACAACATGCATCAATTTGGGATCTGATGTCACTTCAACAGCCTAGTTTTCAGCAAGACGATCTCTGAAAAATATATCCCCGAGGTGTCATTCAGGCATTCAATGCAATAATTAAATTTCCACAGTTTCCCCTCTGTATTATTTGCCTATTTAGGCGATTGCAGAAACATACCTCAGAACATTTTCACATGCAGAAACGTGGCTTTCATGTCAATTGACCTACATGCTACAGTTACATGACCAAAAAAAAAGAGCTACAACTTCTACAATTACTTTCCTTCTATGGGAATGCTCCCTCAAACATCTATTATGCAGTTGTTTGTCAGCATCTAGCCTCACTTTAACCTTAACATCCCCATTGGCAAGACTCTGTCCTCTAAAAAGCCATCTGTTTGACAAAACAGTCTTTGCCATATCTGGTATTTATAGGAACACAGGAACAGGTGGTGGTCATTCAGCCCTTCAAGCCTGTTCCACACATTGAGATCGTGGCTGATCTGTGGCCTAACTTCGTATAACTGCCTTTAGCCCATATCCTCTAATATCTTGCTATGATCCAGCATCCAATGCCATTTTTAGAAGACAGTTCTAAACATCTACCACCTTTTGTGTAGGCATGCTTCCTAACATCTTTCCTGAACATTGTGGCCCTAATTTGCAGACTCCAGCCCCTAGTTCTAGAATCCCCAACAAGTTGAAATAGTTCATCTTTAGCTATCCTGCCTTTTCCTGTTAATATCTGAATATTTGATCAGATCACCTTTTTAAATTCTAGAAAAAAAAAAGAAATCTAACGTGTGTTCTGATGAAGAGTCACTGGACTTGAAGTGTTAACTCTGTTTTCTCTGCACAGATGCTATCAGACTTGCATTTTGTCTGTGTTTCAGATTCCCAGCGTCCACAGTTCTTTATTTATCTAGTTTGTATGATCTTCCTTATAATCCAACTCCTGAAGTCCTGGTATCATTCATGTAAACCTGTGTTGTACTCCCTCCAAGGCCAATATATTCTTCCTAAGGAGTAAGGTCTAACTAGGGCTTTGCAAAACTGCAACATCACGTCTGCATTTTTATACTCCAGTCCTCTAGATATGAAGGCCAGCATTTCATTAGCTTTCTTGATTGTTTTCTGCACCTGTTCATGACATTTTAAAGATCTATTCATCTGAACTCTGATATTATATGCTTTAGAATTTCAAAAACCGGAGATAGATTGAAAGAAGCAGCAAAAACTCTGTCTGGAATAAACTATCAAAAGGACAAGGCCAAATTTATATAGGAAATGAAAGCAATTAACCAAGTCTGGGAAAAGGAGGAGTCAAAGGCTCATGAACAAAAGAGTTTTGACATCTGCTTGATAATTGGCTGCATTGTGCCACTGGGACAAATCACCGCCCTGTAGAAGAATTTAAATGAGTTAATCACAAGAAAGCAGAGTCATTAAACAGAGTCAATGCCAAATGTAACAAGGAACAGGGAAATTACTTCTTATAAGACAGCAAGTTGCAGACTTGATGGTTTCAGAGTAGTCATCAATATTTTGGAAGAAAGAACCTAAAGAATCATCAATAATATCATACATACCTGAAAGACGAAAAACTAAGGATCCAACACCAGAACTCTCCCTTTACAGAACAAAGAACAACACTGCATAAAGTTCACACCCTGGACATCAGAGACAGACACTCTTGATTAGATTTGTAGCTAAATTCCACCATTAATTGGGTAATAGCCAAGTTAAGTTGTGAGGCTTAACTTGCTGACTTGAGGAGTCTTATCTTGGTGGCTACATGCAATAGAGTTTAAGTTATTAGTTCAGTACTTAATGGTCTGTGAATTTCTTAATAAGTAGTTGAATTGAAGGTGGTATGGGTTGTTGAGAGTAAATCACCACAAAGTCTCTTTGAACATCCACTGTAGTTAACTTCATACCATCTATTCTTTCAGTCCAAAATGGATAAAATTATAGTAAACACCATCTGCGACGTTTTTGCCCATCTGATTTATCAATATCCCTTGTTAATTTTATGCTGTTTAGTGTCTATAATACTGCCTAACTTTGTGTCATCAGGAAATTTGGATAAATGACTTTCTGTGCCATTATCCAATTTGTTAATAAATAATGTGAATAATTGAGGCCTGAATACAGATCCTTCTGATACACAATGGTCACATCCTGCCAATTTGTGCACCTGTCCATTATCCCTGCTTTCTGTTACCTGCCAATCAACCAGTTTCCCAGTCGTGTTGGTAATTTGCCCTCAATTCCATGGGCTTCTACTTTATGTGGGACTTTATCACACGCCTTCTAGAAGTCTATATAAACATCCATTGACATTCCCCGTCCACTACCTTAATCACTCTTGAAAAAAATTCAGGCATGACCTTCTTGTCATGATTCCATGCTGGCTCTCCCTGACAACTAAAAATTTTCAATGTTCAATGTTCAGTTACCCCATTCTTGATTATAGACTCAAACAATTTCCCTACCAGAGATGTTAAGCTAACTGGTCTGTAATTCGTTTGAGTTCAAGTTTGCTTTATCATTGTCACATGTGCCTACAGTGAAGAGTGTTATTGTGTGTGCTATACAGGCAGATTGTATCATACAAAGTGCATCTGGGTAACAGAACAGGATGCAGCATATATTGTTACAGTCGCAGTGAAGGTGGCGACAGCGAAAGTGACAGCAAATCAGAATTAACATTTGAGAGGTCTGTTCAAAAGTCTGAAAACAGCAGGGAAGCAGCTGTTCCCTGGTTTTCCTCTTGCACCCTTCTTTTGTGCAGTGACATGTGCGACTTTCTGATCCAGAGGGACGACTTCTGTATCTCGGGGACTCAAAGATTATGGCAAGGGTGGCTACAATTTGCTTCCTACTTCCTTTAATGTCCTTGAATGGAAATCAGGTTCTGGGG